TCCCCAGCCCCAATGTCCCCACCCCAGCCCCAATGTCCCCATCCCAGTCCCAATGTCCCCATCCCAGTCCCAGTGTCCCCATCCCAGCCCCAATGTCCCCATCCCAGCCCCAATGTCCCCATCCCAGCCCTGTCCCATCCCCGATGTCCCCATCCCAGCCATGCCCCTGGACAGCCACCCAGCCTTGTCCCCAGGGCAGGGATACGTGACCTTGTCCCTTGGTGTCCCTGGTGTCCCCCATGTCCCCAGTGTCCCCCATGTCCCTGATGTCCCCATGTCCCCAGTGTCCCCCATGTCCCTGGTGTCCCCCATGTCCCCATATCGCTGGTGTCCCTGGTGTCCCCATGTGTCCCCATGTCCCTGGTGTCCCCGTGTCCCTGGTGTCCCCCATGTCCCCATATCGCTGGTGTCCCTGGTGTCCCCATGTGTCCCCATGTCCCTGGTGTCCCCGTGTCCCTGGTGTCCCCCATGTCCCCATATCGCTGGTGTCCCTGGTGTCCCCATGTGTCCCCATGTCCCTGGTGTCCCCGTGTCCCTGGTGTCCCCCATGTCCCCATATCGCTGGTGTCCCTGGTGTCCCCATGTGTCCCCATGTCCCTGGTGTCCCCGTGTCCCTGGTGTCCCCCATGTCCCCATATCGCTGGTGTCCCTGGTGTCCCCATGTGTCCCCATGTCCCTGGTGTCCCCGTGTCCCTGGTGTCCCCCATGTCCCCATGTCCCCGATGTCCCCTTGCTCACCTTGGCAGCGAAGTCGTTCTTGGCCTTGTAGAACTCGTCCAGGGCGTTCTGCAGAGCGGCCACGCGGCCCTCGATCCGCTGGGAACGGACACGGACACGGAACGGACACGGAACGGACACGGACACGGTACGGACACGGACACGGGATGGACACGGGATGGACACGGACACGGGATGGACACGGACACGGGATGGACACGGACACGGGATGGACACGGACACGGACACGGGACGGACACGGACACGGAACGGACACGGACACGGGATGGACACGGACACGGGATGGACACGGACATGGGATGGACATGGACACGGGATGGACACGGACACGGGATGGACACGGACACGGAACGGACACGGACACAGGATGGACATGGACACGGAACGGACACGGACACAGGATGGACACGGACACGGGATGGACACGGACACGGGATGGACACGGACACGGGATGGACATGGACACGGGATGGACACGGACACGGGATGGACACGGGATGGACACAGACATGTCATTCCCTGGCTGGGATCCCTGGATAGAGCCCGCCCCCCTGGATAGATCCCGACCCCCTGGATAGATCCCGACCCCCTGGATAGATCCTGACCCCCTGGATAGATCCTGACCCCTTGGATAGATCCCGACCCCCTGGCACACACGGCATGGGATGGGCAGGGTCCCCCACAGCCCTGGGGTGCAAACTGGGAAGTGCCCAATTCTCAAATCCAGATCCCCCATTCCCAAATCCCAATCCCCCATTCCCAAATCCCAATCCCCCATTCCCAAATCCAGATCCCCCATTCCCAAATCCCAATCCCCCATTCCCAAATCCCAATCCCCCATTCCCAGATCCCCCATTCCCATTCCCAAATCCCAATCCCCCATTCCCAAATCCCGATCCCCCATTCCCACCCAGACAAGGATGGAAATCCTTCTCCTGGACTTTTCCCCGCCCTGTGGCAGCTCCCTGCCGTTCCGCCATCCCAATCCCGAAATTCCCCCCATCCCAATCCTGGAATCCCAATCCCCGTATTCCTCCTATTCCAATCTGGGAATTCCCCCTATACATCCCAATCCCAGAATTCCTCCCGTCCCAATCCCAGAATTCCTCCCATCCCAATCCCAGAATTCCCTCCATCCCAATACTGGAATTCCTCCAGAATTCCCCCCATCCCAATCCCAAAATTCCCCTGGAATTCTCCCCATCCCAATCCCAGAACTTCCTCCATCCTAATTCTGCAATTCTCTCCATCCCAATTCCGGAATTTCCCCCAATCCATCCCACTCCCAGAATTCCCCCATCCCAATCCCAAAATTCCCCCAATCCATCCCAATCCCAATATCGGGATTCTCGATCCTGGAATTCCCCCCAGTCCATCCTGATCCCCCCATCCCAATCCCGGAATTTCCACCATCCCAATCCCAGAATTCCCCCAGAATTCCCCCCATCCCAATCCCAGTCCTGATCCCAAAATTCTCCCAATCCATCCCAATCCCCCCATCCCAATCCCAGTCCTGATCCCAAAATTCCCCCGATCCATCCCAATCCCCCCATCCCGATCCCGGAATTCCCCCCATCCCAATCCCTGTATTCCCCCATCCCGCTGGATCCTGGAATTCCCGTTGGATCCCGGAATTCCCGTTGGATCCCAGAATTCCCGTTGGATCCCGGAATTCCCGTTGGATCCCAGAATTCCCGTTGGATCCCGGAATTCCCGTTATTCCCGCTGTTATTCCCGCTGTTATTCCCGCTGTTATTCCCATTGTTATTCCCGTTGTTATTCCCGTTGTTATTCCCGTTGTTATTCCCGTTATTCCCGTTGTTATTCCCGTTGTTATTCCCGTTATTCCCGCTGTTATTCCCGCTGTTATTCCCGCTGTTATTCCCGTTATTCCCGCTGTTATTCCCGCTGTTGTTCCCGTTGTTCCCGCTGCTGACCCTCTCGCAGTAGGCGGAGTGCACGTGGAAGTTGCCCAGCTCCTGGTGGTTGTCGTCCTGGTTGTACAAATCCTTCAGCGTCTCCCGCTCCTGGTGCCGGCAGAACTGCGCCGGAATCCGGCAATTCGGGAACTCAGGGGGGGCTCGGGGGGTTTTGGGGGGCTCATGGG